ATTCCAGTTTTTATTGTCTGCTTTTTTACATTTTTTTTAATCAATGAAAATAGACGTTCATTCGTCGGTTGAAGCTGAATATCGGGTTGGAGTGCGTTCAGAATCGATTTTATAGCTCGACACTTTCCAGTCTCACGAGAAAAACGAACTCAAATGTTAAACTTCGGAAGCATTAAAAAAAAAAAAGACGAATTTTAATCACATTTCACTACGTCTTATCCTTCCGATCATCATTCTTTTGAGAATGGCATGATTCGAATCTCTACACGCATGCGTAAAGGAAAGAGCGGGAACGAACGCCTTAAGGCAAACAAAGTCCCTGAGATGCATGACTTGAATATGCGTTGAAGGTAAAGTTTTAACGATGAATTCTTTCACTCTATCTTTTTTTCTTCTCATTCTTTAAGCTCAATGTAGGTTAAATAGACAATAATCCAATCGGCGGATACCTGATCTATAAGTACAAAATGTAATCTCTTTCGCTAATTTCAAAATTGCGGTGTGCGTCGATATTTTCAGGTTGAAAAATTCTCTGTCGGAGAGAAAAATATGGACTTTTATCAAATAATTGCAACCGTCTAGAATAGGTAAAGATCGACGCCATTATATTTTTTATCTAGAATACATGATTATAATTTCCCAAGATATATGTTCCAAAAACGTACCCCACTTTTATAATGGTATTCGTAAGTAGAGAATGTTTTTGATACAATTGAAGAATTATTGCCATCAGTTCTTACCATTTTCTTTTCCTTCTTGCAGACAATATCCTAGAATAATCGCGTTTGATATGGGACTGCATACAAAGAGTCAGTTTTTTTGGTGGGGTTGGTTTGGTTTGGTTTGCTTTATGGCATTTCAACGTCAATGGGTTATTTAATTCCGACAGGATTTTTATTGCTGGTAATATTTTTCCAAAAATGTATTGCTGTTGATAATTTTTTTTTTTTTTTAGATTGGCAGCTAGATTTTGTCATTTTACCGTTAAAATGGCTAAATGTAACCGTAAGTTCTATGCTAACAGTTTCTTAATCTGATAAGTATGTTCATGGTAATTATTTTGATGATCTTTCCTCTTTGGTACCTAGACTTTATGAATTTAAGCGCAGTACTAGTTTGGCAGCTAGGTCTCATCATTTTACTGTCGAAATGGCTAGATGTAACCATAAGTTCTATGCTAACAGTTTTTTTTAATCTGATAAATATGTTCATGGTAATTGTTCTGATGAGCTGCCCTCTTTGGTACCTAGACTTTATGAATTTAAGTGCAGTACTAGATTGGCAAAAGAAGAAAATTATGAGAACACGAAAATATTAAATAAAATAAAAAAAACTTAACCGCAGTGCCTAGTCAGTGGTTTTTAATAAACGTATACATTCAGGGTTCGATGGATAAATTGTCGTCTAAATTGGCGAGAGTGAAAATAACACTTTGAATAACATGAGGTTATATATTTAAACATTTTTTTTCTCATTTTTTTCTATGTTTGTGGTCATGTCGCTTGGTTTGGGAAAGTAGTAATTCTTTCAGGAAAGGAGATATTGGGGGGGGGATCCATAATTCAGATTTATATTTACAAAAATATACTCCCCTACTCACAATTATTTATTAGGTACTCAAATATATCATCTCTCATCCATGAATTTGTCTGATTTTTCAGCCAAACCGATGGATATTCGTGAGCACCCCTATACAAAAATTTTGAATAACTATTATATTTTTGCTCTTGTATATAAATATATGTCACAAAATAAAATCCTTACATTTGCCTTGATAAATGTTTTCCTTTTAACGTTCTTCATATATATATATATATATATATATATATATAATTATTTATTCGAAAATTATAACACAAATATGTTATTAAATTTTATAAAAATTTGTTATAATTTTCGAATAAATAATTGTATTTGCCCAACACTGTATTAAGCAGTCTTTTTTAAGAATAGTAATAGTATTTTTGTTATTGGAATTTATTCTGTATACGCCAATCCTATACCTGTATATATATATATATATATATATATATATATATATATATATATATATATATATATATATATATATATATAAAGCAATTCACCCTAAGCAAGCCGGGTGTGCTACTAGCACGAAAGGGGTTACAGAGAATTGCGGACAAAAGTAAAGAGGCGAGAAACAAGCTCAGGGTGTCAGATGTCGATTGACATTACGCTTGAATATTTGAAGATTATAGACACTAACGAAGCAATATATATATATATATATATATATATATATATATATATATATATATATATATATATATATATATATATATATAAAATTTATTTACTTGAAAATTTTAACATAAATATGTTATAAAGTAGCCATTTGTGTTTCAACACTTCTGGTGTCTTATTCAACACCATCACTTGATAAGACACCAGAAGTGTTGAAACAAAATTGCTATTTTATAAAATATTTATGTTTTAATTTTCGAATAAATAATTATATGTGCTCTACTCTGTATTGAGCCCTCTCTTAAGAATATTATTTGTTGGTTATTGAAGTTTATTCCGTATACACCAATCTTATACTTGTATATATATATATATATATATATATATATATATATATATATGTATGAAGAAATATCGTGTTAATGTGTGCTATATTTATGGATAAACTGCTCAATATTAGAGATAGATCTAATATATATATATATATATATATATATATATATATATATATATATATATATATATATATATATATTAACAAAAAAAAAAATATTAAAAAATTAAAATCTTCAGACATACTGGGTTGTAGATTAATATTCTTTTCGTTTTTTTTTATTATTATTTCATTTAGATTCCTCGACTAGTTTCGGCCAAAATGGCCATCATCAGGAGAAGAAATATTTTCTTGCTGGTAGCAGTAAACTACAGAAATGAATGTCTTCATATATATATATATATATATATATATATATATATATATATAATTAGAAAATGTTATTAAGTTTATTTTCATAAAAAGTTTCACAGATCGAGGAATTAGATAGAAATCAGAGCTAATTGCGTAAAGTAATAGTTTTCTTTATTTTTTATTGTTATTAAACCAATTCATTATAAGCATAAGTAATAAGAAGCAAATATTTTGTCCGCTTTTAAATTTCTTTCGTTTTTATTCGGTCTAATTCCAGAGTTGACAAAGTCGACAAACTTTTTACCCAATATTTTGTTTTTTCATTTCTGTTTTAAGCAATACCTTTGCAGAAAACTTCAAAACATAATTATTCTATTTCTTTATTTGTTTTCAACTAATTAAAAGTCTCATACATTTTCTTTCTCTTCTCCTGGTTTTCTCTTCGCAATATATGTTTGTTGAACAGGTGAACAACCCGAAGCATATTGTCCAATTGTTTGTTATTTCTGCTACCGGTTAATATATTTGCATTGTCCGTCGAGAGTAGATACGATATTCTTTTGGGTTGTCTTGCTCTGCCTTTAGCAAATCACTCAAGATGAATTGTCATTGGTTAGCGGACAAGCACTTAGATGAAAGTAGATAAAATCAGATTAACACTCGCACTAATCAAGCATATTCTAATCAGCCTGTCTATCTGGCCCGTTCTTAACATTTATCTATGCGGCCTGCTAGTTAGAATTGGCCGAAAGCGTTCTAACTCTTCACATAAAAGAGGTGAATAAGTGAGCACGAAACGCGCTAATTCTTTGAGTAGATTTTCAATGACAAAACGTAATGATATAAACGAGTTCCAAATAGGTTTCAGTTTTATTTGATGCTCGACACAAAACGTTAACCCGAATTTTCAAACTCCACGCACAAACAGCAGAACCTTCCGACACACAGACATCGTTATGGGATCTGTTGACTGGGTTAACGAGTATGGTCATAGCAAACATGTTTGATTCAAAGTTTTATTTTTTACGATAGTGATAACATCTCTTAAAGCCAGCAAATGACTTACAATGCTTATTGCAGACGCGGCAAACAAAGTTATTCTGTACAGAGCTTGGCCTGTTTTGTAAATTCTCTTTAATTTGCTTGTGGTTGTCCATATGATTGCTGGTAACGGCACGGTTTCTGCAGGTCATTGTAACACAAATTGCATGTTAAGTCATTCCCAGAAGAAAACGGAAAAGAAGAATATCCGAATTATGGCGTTTGGGGTCTATACCCCCGAAATTAATGTCCTACATTGACGAACTTAGAATAAAGCTTATTAGCCCATCGCTTCAGAAGTCCTCGTTGCCTGTCACGGCAAATATTCTGCAAAACGTTCTATCTGATTGATGTTTTATGACTTGATAGGGACACCCATAATGATAGATCTCCGTTTGAAAACGAAAACCATGGTAACGATATATATATATATATATATATATATATATATATGAATTATTCAAACAAAACTAATGCAAAGGTTAATGGTTTAAATGGCGAGACATCCATCATCGCAAACAATTCAAATAGTACACAAAAACCTCCAGATCCGTTATGAATGAATTGATCCTTGTTTATATAAATTTCTGCCGTATTAGTTGTTATTTTACTACAAGCTTTCGTCTGTTCCTACAGACATCTTCAGGTATATAATAGATGTTGTTCTTGTTTTTTTTCTCTTAGTAATATATATATATAGTTAAGTTATGAAGAATTTGGTAAACCGAATTGGTAAATCCAAGGAGGATGAAACTGAGAGCTCAATGTGAAGAACAGAGCTAATATTTAATGAAAAACAGACCACTTTAAGGTACCATTAATAATTTATTTCACCAAAATCCTTTTAGAGGATTTCGGATCATCAGGTAACAACTATATATCCAATAATATATATATATATATATATATATATATGTATGTATGTATTACTTCAACCATTTCAGTACCAAATGACCACTCGAGGTATCGCGTCACCGAGAGATAGTGTTGAAATTAAGCTGGAAGATTTAAGCAAGAAGTATGAGGATATATAGGCTAGATATCAATCGAACCTGAACTTGAAGCGTACGGCCAAATCACGTTTAAACACCGGCTCCCTCACGGTCACTGAAGTTAAGCAACGTCGAGCCTGGTTCGTACCTAAATGGGAGACCGCTTGGGAATTCTATGAGTTGTAAGCTTAGATGTACAAGCGGATATGTTTACGGCCATATCACGTTGAAAGATCGGTTCCCGTACGAACACTCAAGTTAAGCAACATCGAGCCTGGTCCGTGTACATTAATGGGTGACTCTTGGGAATACTATGAGCTGTAAGTTTCGATGTGCAAGTGGATTTGATTACGGCCATATCACGTTGAAAGTTAAGCTACGTAGAGCCTGGTGAGCCAGTTGTTGTAAGGTTGGATAGGTCGTATGACTTCCCATAATGTTCCCGTCTGATCACCGAAGCAATGCCGAGATTGGATGGGTGACCGGTTTGGAATACCAGGTGTTGTAAGCTCGGATGTGCGTATGGTGCAGGGTTAAGGCTAACCCTAACCCTTACCCCAACCCTAACCCTTTGTTCCGTCAGTTGTAACCTTAACTGTTAAGACCCGCCATGACAACAATTTTTATATTTATTACCCACCCCATAACTAATTTTATGAAAACTCTTGAAATTCAAATGTGTACATTTTTAGTGATTAATTAGTTAAAAGCACAGGGCTTTGAGGAAAGCAAATCATTTTTTTTAGTTGACACCCTTCTATCTTAAAATCAGCTCTGAATTGTAACATATAAAACTCAATAAAACAATAATATTATTTAATTTTAAAAGATTTTAGTTTCTTTTTTTATGAATATGGATAATATTGTCTGAAAGTAAAAAAAAAACGTTTTCGATGAAAAATAAACTTTTACAACAATTATTTGTCATTTTTAAAATTATTTTATTTTTTTTTACATTAAAGTTGTTAAATATTCTAAAATTAATGAAAATGATGTACAGTTTAGTCAATGCTGTGTTCCACTGTTAAGAAGCAAGTTCCACTTGAAAAGCTTCTTCATGCCAACCACTGTTCTGTAAAACCGACTCGAAGGAGGATTTTCTCCGATTGCTACAAATTTAAGTTGTACGAATCGAGGGTTAACGTTTATTTTTTCTCCTATCCGCATACACTGAGTGCCCCCGGGCCTTGTACAGGGTCAAAATTACTGTAAAAAAACATAAATAATTTGCTTACCATTTACATTAATTGTAATAAGGTGGGCTCAACTACCATATTACCATGAGCAGCACATTGAACCCTAAATTCTACATTTCGATCCCCCTCATTGTATAATATTAACGTGAATATATTTTCTATTCTACTACCTTTCTTCTGACGCTATGATGTTATAGATAAAGAAGTGATTCATTGCATTTTCTCAGACCAACTTTTCCCGCTCACATAAAGTGGGAAGATTATTTTGAATCCCTTGTTAAGTCTGCTGCTATGAAATTTATTTCTCTGTGTCGGCTTAGACAAATTTTCTCTCCTGAATCTATTTTATATATTTAAAAGTCTACCATTCTTTCTTGCTTTGAATATTCCTGCCACATAAGGTCTTCTGCTAATGCTATATATTTAAAGATTCTTGATAAAATCCAAAGGGGAATCTGCAATATTATTGGTCCTGACTCGGTATCTTGCCTTCAGTCACTTTCTCATAGATATAATGTAGCTTCCTTATTCCTTGTCTATAGTTGGTGCTAACCTCCAGATGAGTGACTTGTTCTGCCTTTTCGAGCAAACGTTTCCCGCTGACATGAAGTGGAAAGATTATATTGAATCAATTGCTAGATCTGCTGCTAAGAAATTTGGTTTGCTGTATCGTCCTAGATAATTCTTGCTCTTCAGATTCTATCTTACATATTTATATATCTATGATTCGTTCTTGCTTTGAATATTGCTGTCACATAAGGTCTTCTCATCATCATCTTGCGGCCTCAGCCGAGATTGAACTCACCAATACTTTGGTGTAGTTCATAATCTTGTCAAATAGCAATAGAATTCTTGAAGCTTCGCTAGGGCTATCAAGGGTGCATTTTATCGTGACACCATCACTAAATGGATTGCCAACCAAGGCTCAGAGAGACTCCATTCACCCTCCTTTAAGAGCAGGTTTGAATTCAGAGTTTTCCTTCTCCTAGACCAGTTGCCATCCAAGGCTATAGAACCCAGTCTGTCCTGCTATTTACCCATAGATGGAAGAAAGAGGATTCACACCTTTCCCAAGGGTGTTAGCAAGTAAGTGAATGTAATGGATTCGACTGGAATTCGAACTCCGATTCCTCAATCCAAGCCGCTATCCATTACTCCACCGTGCCTCCAAAGGTCTTCTACTGATGCTATATATTTAAAGATTCTTGATAAAATCCAAAGAGGAATCTGCAATGTTATTGGTCCTGACTTGGTATCTTGCCTTCTTATTTGCGAATTTTGAACCAGGAACTCAGGCAGAAGTGTTAAATTTGTTCAGAAACGCGGGAGTTAATTTATTTGACCTCGTTCATGTAACTCCGTCAGGTAAGCCAACCCCAACTTGCATTATTCTGGAATTCATCAGTTTGACCGAGTAATTGTTGCCTGGGCTGCCCATGTCCTCTACACAACATCGTCCAGGACTTTACCCGAGAGAGATCATTCTGGCCTCATCACTCATTTATCTTTACAAGTCGGATGCTACAGACGAGATAAACCGAAGCAAGCATGAGTATCTCAATGAAAATACGATTATGTTCTACGTTGATGCCTGGATTGTGGCTTTATTAGGTAAACCAATATTCATTCTGGTAATGTCTGCGAGGTGACGAATCAGTTCTCAAGACGCTTATCGATTTCCTGTTGGTGCCGGTTAAGGAGAGTTGATCAAATTTCCTTCTATACATTTGCGTATTAACAGAGAATCCATTTTGTTCGGTTGAGGTTTTCTTCTTTCTTTTTCTTCCTAAAATCGCACGAACATCTTAGATCTAAAGAGTCTGATGTAGAAATAGATGAACAGATAAACGCGATTGGAAGATAAATCATTTTGTCGGGGAAAGAGAAACTCTTCAGATTATTATTATAACTCTCTTGGCTGCGGCAGAAGTGACATACGTGCAATATATGGGTAGATATTATTGCTATTTCAGTACATATATACATACGTGCATATATATATATATATATATATATATATATATATATATATATTATTTACATTATTCAGACTATTGTCCTCATCTTTGTCGCCATATTTATCACAGCGTTTCGGCCGTTGTACGCTCCGGCCTTCTTCAGGTGGTTGGAATGTCGAACTGAACCCTTTATTTTGCTCACCGGGGTAGACTGTTCTAGTTCCACATGACATGTTTGTTGGATGTCAGTTATCAGTTATCTCCTGTTAATTTCCCTCTGAAAGTTCTCCACTGCCTTAACCGGGTATTGAACTCACACTCTTTGAGTCCTATCACTGGATCTAACCAACGCCTTTATCCACTGTGCCACGCGTCCTTGAGAACTTTCCTGAAGAAGGCGTACAACGGCCGAAACGTTGTGATAAATATGGCGACAAAAATGAGGACAATAGTCCGAATTATGTAAATAATGTACATAATACCTCATCTCAGAAATATAGACATATATATATATATATATATATATATATATATATATATATATATATATAGGAGCTGATGATAGCTGTGTACAGACCGGATTGAAATAGATTATATCCACGTTGATATAATTTTGGGGTGTAAAAAATTACACATGTTCTGTTATGATAAATATATCGAGCTCTCTGTGGGTGAGTTTTTAATAATTAATATTACTTGGATCCACCCGGATTATATACTAAAGGATCGATTACCTGTATATATATATATATATATATATATATATATATATATATATATATATATATATATATATATATCGTTTCGACTCTTCCGTCGAATCCGACGTACGAGGGTCAAGCAGATCAGTTCCCACGAAACCGACAGCCCAACAAAAGCACATGAGAATTGATTATAGTGGTGAAGGTTTCGTGCAGGACCATCCACTTTTTGAAGGGACGAATGCAGAGACCTGGTGCACTACGTGCCACAAGGTCCCCAAACGACCCTCCACAGGTTTTGAATTCAGAGTTGTCCTTCTCCTAGACCAGTTGCCATCCAAGGCTATAGGACCCAGTCTGTCCTGCTATTTAACCATTTGGGAATATATATATATATATATATATATATATATATATATATATATAATCTAAAAGGCTCAAACAGTAATATTCCATAGTTATTATTTACTACACTGAAATGGTAATCACGATTCAAATCATCAGACCTACAAATTCAAAAAATAAATTAAAAAATTTGAATTTGTAAGTCTGATGATTTGGATCGTGATTACGATTCCAATATAATAAATTATAGCCATGGAATATTAATGTTTGAGCCTTTTATATTATATTGTTACTCTGTCCTGGACATTCAATTCTACCTGGATTCTATATATATATATATATATATATAGATTGATTAATAAAACAAAGACAAACGAAAGGTACCAATATAATGAGTACATTTATTAAATATAAACCTTATAACAGAAATTAATAACGGTAAAAAAAGTTTTAAGTTCGGAATTTTCGGACACGCCTGTGTCCTTTAACAATTGTCCTTTCAACAAACAGAGAAATGGGAATTAGTCTCTGACAGATGCTTTTGTAGATTTCTTAATGGAAAACCAAAGACTAAAGATTGCGAAAATCAATATTTCGAATATAAACCTTTATAAGGTCCAGATCATGCTGAAAATGGAGTACTGTTGCCATATTTGGGCAGAAGCTGCTCAGACCTCACTTTCCAGTCTTGATAGAGTTCTTGTTGAAGAATAATTTTCTTCCACAATCTAACCTCTCTCTCTCACACACAGGCGGAAGGTGGCGAGTCTCTCCCTGCTCTATCGCTGCTACCATGGAAAATGCTCGGGCGAATTGCATCTACTGGTTTCACGTGGTCTGACCTTCATGACTAGGAACGGCCATGCCAATTACATATTTATAAAACAACTACATTCCATCGTCGAGAAGTAAGTTCCACTCAAACAGCTCCTGTCCGATAGAACAGACTACCAATGACTACAATCTTTATCTATTCAAGTCTGGTCAACCATTGTCTTCCCCTTCTACCCTCTAACGTAAACCTCTACTTTGACTTCCTGGGTAAGACGATGAACTACATCCAACAACAAGGCCTCTGATCAGGAGATTTTGAGGAGCGTGGGACCACATCTTAATTGCTAGTGTTCCTATGTCCACCCTGACCCAGGGTGGTAGCACCTGTTAAGATCCCAGCTATGGGCAAATAGTTAACCTCCAAACTGGATTCAAAATGCTATGAAAGTGTAAAAATAGGTTTTTAATACCAGCAATACATTTTTAGAAAAAATATTGGCAGCACTACATTTTTGAAAAAAAAAATTTTAATACATGATCTATTTATACGAACCTATCCTAAAAATTTTCTTGGCATTAAATAACCCATTGAGGTTGATATACCGTAAAGCAATCCAAACATCAACCTTGAGTGGCCCTCCGGCCCTGTAGAGGGTAAACTTCACTGCAAAAAAAAATAACATCACAGAATCTCTGTTTGTTGATTCTGATGTGTTGACATTTAGAGAAAATTTAGTAAATGGAAGAAGGAAAAAAAGAAAGAAGGAAATGTTTACGGGCGTTTTACTTCTGAAGTCATCTCGTATTGCCGCTAAGCGCGACTAGTGATGGTCTGAGGACCTGATGGGCTGTCTGCAATATCTGGGGCCCACCCTAAATCTCATCTCATTTTCCAAACCCTGCTCTCCATTTCGGAAGAAGGTCCGCTTCGGTCTACCGACCACTGACTGATCCTCTCAGTAGGAGGTACACAAACAAGATGGCCGCTGCCACCCACGAAAACCAAACGAACAGACTTGTAAGACATTTTAAAACATTTCTCAAAACTATTATAATAAAACGTCAGGCTCATTCTCTGTACAGATAAGTGGTTCTCAAACATTTTTACCCATGGACCATTTTTACTCTAATGTTTTTGAAGGGTGCACCTCCATAAGCATTCGATAAAAAAAAGCTAATTTTATTTTTTGCGAATAGAAAAGCTTAGGAATTTTATTATAAAAACAAGCAGTATAACCTGACTTCGACCGGGTGTTTCATTACTGGGAATTTTGGCCGTTCAATTGAAGCAGTTTAAGTTTAAATCAGCCCACCCGAAAATCAATCTTAGTAACAATAATTGGGTACAACTGAGGCACATACCCGTGGGGGGGGGGGCTGAGAGGGCAGTTTTTGCGTTCTCAAAGGAACCTCTTTCAAGGACCGTCATAATAATCAGTCAGTTATTTGTTATGCGTGATACACGCTTAAGCGATCATGTATCTTTTTTTCCCGCATTTCTTTCTGCGCTAGACCAGTTGCCATCCAAGGTTATAAAACACGGCCTGTCCTGCTATTTACCCGTAGCTAGGTAAGTGAATTTAATTGATTCGACTGGAATTCGAACTCGGTTCTCCGATTTCTCGCTCCGAGCCGCTATCTATTACTCCACTTCATATACGATAATTTTTATTTATAATATATATATTTTTTTATAATTCTAATAATCTTTTGCGTTAAATTTCAACTCTATAAATTGATTGTGCGTTTTTTTTTCTTACAGACATTACATTTTGCCTTTGATTTTTGCGCAAAGTATAAAAAAATGTTTTTTCGATTTTTCACCTTCAAGGTTGTAATTTTTTCCAGCCAGTTTGGACTCAAAACCGACACTGAAGAATTATCTATCAAACAAAAGAAAAATCATCGATATCGGATGAAAACTGTGGAAACTCATAAACAACATCCGATCACACAGACAGACACACATACACACATTTTGAGAATAATAGATATAGATATAAATGAATACGCATTATTTTGAAGTAAATCTAATTTAATAAAAATAATCTTATATTTAACAATTAAGTTCTAAGTCAGTCAGTCATGTGCCATCCGTGATCGCTTAGGCGATCATATATCTTTCGATACATGACTGACGAGGCAGATTTTTTTTACCACAGTAGGTTGCCATTTCTTTCTGCGGTAGACCAGTTGCAATCCAAGTCTGAAGAACCTGGTTTGTTCTGCTATTTACCCATAGCTGGGGAAGAAGACGATTCATACCTTTCCCAAGGGTATTAGTACGTAATACAAGATTCCTTAATCTGAGCCGCTATCCATTACTCCATCGTGCCTCTTATGTGCACTAGTAAAATAACTCATTATAAACCAATTTAAAATATGTGAATAATTAATAAGTTTTAAAAGAGTTCAAATTTATTCAAAGACATCTCTGTGGTTGATGCTGCTCTGCAGGGTTTTTTTATATATATATTTGGCTGAATCGATGTCTTTGATGGTAGAAAATCACCCCCTTTCACAATGGCAAGTCTATTCCTATACTAATTAATTTGTATTAATATTTTATATTATTAGTATTAGGTTGGTGCAAAAATAATGACGGGTAATAATGTCGTTTTTGACGTTAAAAATACGTCAAAAAACGACATTATTACGTCATTATTTTTGCACCAGCCTAATATTTAAAATTAATATTATTACTTACTATTAATATATTAAATTAATTTATATAATAAATTATAATCTTTATATAATTTTCCTTTATATATATATATATAAAAAACCCTTCCTTTATATATCCTTCTCGGTTCTTATTCAACTTTTTCAATCAAAATATCCGGTAGATTAAAAGTGACGCTAAATTATATCACTTGATCCCATTTTCTGCTAGTTTTTGAGTTGTTCTTTCTATTTTTAGTATTTTACAGATCATGGCAGCTTTTCGGGAAATGTGATTAAATATACTTTAATGTTTGAAAAAAATTTTATTCCGTATTATTATTGTTTATGAAATAAGCATTATAACATAGCACAAATATCTATATTGTAGAAAAAGGAATTTTTAACAATATACACATTTTTACGTATTTATGGTTATTTTTTTAACTTTTATCAAAAACAACATTCTTGTACATGGAGTTATGGATAATAATACACATTAATTACTAACTTTTTTAATTAATAACTATTTGTGCTCAGTTGTTGACATTAATAGCTATCTGCTGAGGTGTTAAAAATTTAGAATAATGTAATAATAAAAATTTAAATTTAATCTCTCCGATAGATATCGCCATCTGTAAGCGTTACAAAGATTAGGAAATCGTGGAGAGTCAAGAATACTCACTCCCTGAATGAATATGATACATAGAAGGAGTTTAATATTTTAACTCTCACTTCTAGAGGGAAAAACTTATATATAGGCCCTCAGAGGATTGTCTTGCCGGAAATTGCCTCTGCTGCTGAAGAGGTTAATAATGATAATCCTTATATAATTTATAGATCAAATTAACTGTATTAATATTTTAGTTTTTTATATTTTATATATATTTTATTCATTTATATGAATATATTAATATTTTATTTTATTAATATTTAAAATTAATATTATTATTTATTATTAATATATTAAATTAATTTATATAATAAATTATAATCTTCATATAATTTTTCTTTATATATAACCTTACTTTTATATATTCATCTCAGTTTTTATTCACCTTTTACAATCAAAATATCCGATAGATTAAAAAAGGACGATAACTTACATTATTTCTTCCATTTTTAGAGTTGTTTTTGTAATTTTAGAATTTTAAAATGGCGTAGATTATGTTTAAAATTCCAATTCGTTATATTAACAAAATGTGAAAATTGCTCTATGAACCACTAAAACATTAGTGCTTACTTCCAATTTGCTATGTTTTGAGTTGACCCGTCCCTACCAGGATTCATATGGACCCCGTTTGATAACCACTGATCTAGATAATGTAGTCCGTGATTTTTTATTGATTTAAGTAGGGACGAGGTTTCAGACTAAACTATTTGTGATTTGCATCGCCAGATAAGTTCTTAATATTAGGTTGAATTTTATTGTTTTAATCGAATTCACCCAAAGTAATGCCACTAAGACACAAGGGGTTACAGAGTGCAGAAGAATTAGGAACAGAAACATTAATGATAAGCAGAAAGATAAGATTGTAATCAGGCATATGTGGACATAACAAACCTAACTGGAATTAGAACTTCGCTCTCCGATTATCAATTTTTACACCATGATTATTCTTTGCACCATCCACACATCCAACCTTTCACCACCTGGTATTCCCAAGCTGTCACCCATCTACTTACTGATCAGGATCGTCGTTGCTTAACTTCGGTAATCGTACGGGTACCGGTATTTCAACGTGTTTAGACCGTAAACCAAAATGGATAGAGGAGGAGATATATTCTGGCGTAGGAGGTATATTCTAGCCTAGTCCATTTTATACCCGTGGGTATAAACTGGTCTAACCTCACTTATACAACGGGTATCAACCAGCCTAGCCTAAAATAATCATATGCATGCTTTGGGCTGGTGTTTGGGAACCGATGTTTCAACGTGATACAGCCGTAGTTTCACGAGGGTATGCGGGATATAGAAGAATGTTATATTATAATATATTTTCAGGCTCTCAATTCGCATATTACTTAAGGGATTATTTCATATATCATACCCAATAATGGAGACTTACAATGTCTGCTATTTAAACTTTAGTCTGCGCATGCGCGCGTGTTTATTAAGTTTTTTTTTTCTTCTAAAGGAATGAGATACAAAGATGGCGGGAACAGATGTTCGTACATCAAGGAATACCAAGGAAAAATGAGACTAGTAAGAGATCTTATGAGATTAAGAGACAGTAGAATGAAACGATAGTTTGAAAGGGGATAACCTTAAACATTTGGGATAAGGCACCGGGGCTTCTGTTCAGAGGAATTAACGGTGGTAGGTAGAATATTCTGTTACGCAAGTAAAAAAAACGGAACATATTGTGAATTCGATAAATTACATACTCTTCGTATACTTCCGGTTTGAAGAAAAAACGGAAGTAATAACACCCACGT